TGGACTGTTGGCAAACCAGCAACGGGGTAAGATGCGACAGGACAAACTTGACCGGAGATCGGGTGACCTGAGTCCAATCACCGTCGACCTCATCACGGTAGAGTGCCACTTTGCAACACAAGGCAGGTGCATGCAGAACAGTCTGTGGGTCTTGATCCGTCTTGGGCACGACAGGGACCTTGCCGATTTGAACCAGGAAGGCTGGAGCAATCATAGGTTCACCATTGGCTTGACAACGAAGAACCACACGGACAAAGGACCAAGCAAGGGACGTGACAAGCTGTGCTTCATCCACATTGAGCAGCACCAATGCAAGAGCCCCATTGGAAACAAGCTGTCCGGCTTTCAGGTAGGCAGCAGCTTCATCAAACGTGGCCAAAATGGCTCCTTGAGCAAACGGTCCAATGGCTTTCATTGAGAGTTGGCTGAGACTTTCGTTGGCAGGAGTGACAAATCCACCTTCTTCAAGAGCAAGCTTGGACGGGTCAAGCAAAGCTGGAGCGTCAGGCTTGGGAGCGGCTGGAGGGCCTGATTGGTTCTTTTTCCGTTTACCCTTCATGCCACCTTGCGCCGCTTTTTGTTTGACCACAGCTTCCAATTCCTGCGGCAGGACAAGTTGGAAAGGGGGACGGCAGGTATTGGCCGCACTTTTCAGAGCTCTCCAAGGTTGGCCTGACGTCAATGCTTTCTGAGCAGCAGCAGTGCCAATGGCTTGAACCAACAACGTGGACCTGTGTTGAACCTGACCTTGTTCAACTCCATGTTCTTGAAGCAACGCGGCCAAGCGATCAGCAGCTTTGGTGTCCAAGCCAGCGCACCAAATCCAAGGGCGACTGACTGTTGTGCAAGAATCCAGGAATTCCACAAACATCGAACGACCCATGGCATGCAGCTGACGGACTTCATTGATGTCAGTAGGCAACATCTTTCCGCGCAACATATGGTCCAAGAACCGCAGCGCACAAATGCCACAGAACTCTTCGACTGCAAACTTCCGGTGAACCACATGCACCGTGAAGGTACGGGAACCGACCACGTTGGCAAGCGCTTGGTGCAGCACTGACAGACCAGAAGGTGGTGAACCCGGGATGTCCCAGCTTGAGGCGATCATGCAATGCACAGTCCAAGTCCAAACGAAGGGGATCCAATGGTTTTCAATTGGAACCAGTCCGACAACAGCCGTGGGTTTGGAAGGGTACGAACGGAACCACTGAGAAAGCAGACCAGAGCTAGGACGTTTGACAGCTTCAGCGGCAAGAAGTGGATCAAGGAAAACCCAATTGCGCTTGTTAGCTGCTGTCATCAACCTGTCAACATGCCAGCACAGTTCATCATCGGACCACAACGTACCTTGATTTGCCAAAATGGCCTTGCGAGACTCAACATCAATGGTCTGCTTGCGCAACGCTTGAACCAAACTGAAATCAGGAACGGAAGGTTCAGGAACCAACAACAGACGACCGGAATCCAGGGAGACCAAAGGTTCCGGCTTGGCTGGAGAAGAAGCCACGGTGTGCGGTTCGGCATGACTTGGGGCTGCAGCTGAATCGATGGACTGTTCAACAAGCTGAGCAACATTGGGATCATCGGCTTTCCACGGCAAGGTGGGGGAAACAACCTCAGCAGAAGGGGGCGGGACAGACAACACAGGATTGCGACAAATCCAAATGCAAAGCCCTCTGGCAGGTGTACCCAAATGCAAATTCAGACCAGAACTGCAATCGACGATCCGCAAGTCAGAGTCTTCAACTCCAATCAGTTCACCAGTGGCACACAGGACAGCGGCAACGGTGTCATCAGGGTCAGCAACCCGGGCAACAAAGGGCACAGGGTCAAGATGGTACACAACCGTGACATCTTCAGGACCACCAAGGTGCTGGTAGTGGACCCAAGGCATACTGGTGGTGTCTTCAGGGAGGGAGTCCAAAACACTTTCAACCGGTGGCTCAGGCAGATCAGGCTGAGGGACATGGACAAAATCCAAGTGATCAGCTATGGTGCAAACCCTGGAACGGAGGTCCTGCAAACATTCCATTGGATCCATGGTGGATGAGCCAGTGAAAACAGTGTCCACATGTTTCATCAGTTGGGCGGCAATCCACACAGATTGGAACGGAGAGGCTTGCTGTCCCAAACCTGCCAAGCACAGTCGAAGGTTGTTAGGCCAAACCATTTCTGGCACACCAGTCAAAACTGCCACCTCAGTCGGATGCGGGTGTCTCACCCTCACTGCCTCAGGACGGTCAGAGCTTGGATCTTCGTAGACCGGAAAGAGGATGCCAAACAGACCTCGGCTAGACAGGGTATCATGGGAAAATCCAATGTCTCGACACCCACACTCACATCCCACCACTTGACTTCCCCAAGAATGCAAGGCTGTCGGAGCTTTGGACCCTGTTTTGAGGAACATGGATGAGAGGTTTGGCTGATACCGCAAGAAGGCAGCAAGCTCCTCGTCACGAAGTTCAAGCTGAGCCAAGGCACGAAAGTCCAAGTCCAACGGAAACGGAAGGAGGTCCCTCGGCACGGATGGTGATTCCAACGGCACGAATGCATCGAGCTGTACAGGGCCAATGAACGAAGCAGTGAGACAGGCCCACCATCTTGCGCGCTTCGAAATCCAAACATCCTCCAAGCGCAAGATGGTCTCTGAAAGGTGAAACATGCATTGCGCCTGAAATGACTCCACCTGCTGACGAACCATGGCATTCCTACCAGCTTCCTGTACACACTCAAGCACTACCGCAACGCTGCGCAGCATGTATGCTGCTCGGAGTGTGCCCAAGAGAGTTCCAGACCTTTTGTCATCTGCACCTCTCTGTTGGCCGCCTGCTGAAAAGGGCTGGCATGAAAACCCTGACATCAAAACTGCCGAGCGTGGGTGAATGCTATGGACCTGCTTCAGGGTGCTTTTGTCGCACAGGTCTCCTAACACAGTCGGAACATCCGGATGCATCTGGGCATATGCCTGGAGCAACTTTGGACTCCAGTCAACGGCACAAACCGGCGACAAACCTGCAGTCTGAAATCCGATCGTTCCGACACCAAGGCCTGAGCAGAGTTCGATGAGGCTGTCAAAGTCACTGCGAGAACTTCGATGATGGTACAAAACGTCGGTGGGGTCGTCAACCAAGAAGCAAGGAATTGGGTCAGTTCCCAAGAGTACAGCGTCAAAAGCACCGAAGCTGGGGCAATCGCTGGGGACGCTGACGGCACCGATGATCTTCGCCCTTTGTCCACCTGGAAACAAAGAAACCAGAATTGAGTCCGATGTGGTCGACACAACCTCCGCCACGATGTCCACGGCTTGGCCCACCTCCATGCCAGGCTTGTAGCCCCAATGAACCGCCGGGCCGGCACTACCCCACAGTTCCATGGCAATCCCAAAACAACGCACCAAACAAGTGAACGGTACCAACCAAGTTTCGGCCAGCGTCGCACCCCCGGGCTGACAGGGACTTGGTCCAAGTGCTCAAAATAAAACATATTTGAAACCACCAACCAGATAGGTTTTATGGTAGCTAAATCGAGGTTAAAAAAACAAACAGCTTAGCCAACGAACTGGGGCAGCATCTTTTTCAGAGTTCATCTGGATTTCGGGCCCCGCTGATTGTTCCTTGCGACCTGATTTGGTGAATTACTGGAAACCAATTTGTCAACCATTTACTCACGTCCTATTACTACCAACCAAAACCACATCTGTACATCATTTAAAAAATTATTACTATTGAACAATATTACTAAGACTATAATACCAGTGTCTTCAAGGCAAACGCATTGAAGATATTGAAGCATCCGAAAAAGTTCCCAGAATTCCACAAAAAAAAACCTTCCAACGCCAACCTTGTTTCAAGGCCGAGCTGCTTCTTCTGCAAAATGCCGTGCCACTTCTTGCTACTTCCGGGCCCAGCCGCCATTGAACCTGGGATTTGCACCCAGAGCTTGGAAAAAATTGCATCCATGGTTTAATACACGTCCATAAAGAGAAATGTAAGCCCTGTAACTATAGTTGTAAGTGGACATATATAAATGTATATATATATATATGTGTGTGTCCACTTAGTGAACACTGGAACTGCAGGTCCAAGTAGAGTGACTCTAGTGATTCAACGTGGCTTGGAATGGCAAAAGATCGAAGGTTCAGAGTTTGAACCATCCAAAAGGGACCTGTTGATGGGTCAAATGTTCCATCATTGCTAGAAACTCCCACAAAAGCTCATAAAAATCCTAAAACATCCCAAAAACATCCCAGAAACTCCCATAAAATGCCAGAAACTCCCATAAAATCTTTAGGCGAATTCCTTGAGAAAAAATATCCACCCACCAGCACCAAGGTACGACTCGAGCCCCGTCGATCTGCCACTGCACGCGTGGCCGCGCCCGCCAAAGAGGAGAAGCTGATGCTGCCAGCCCTGCAGTGACAGTTGCTGATGATATGGCTGTTTAACCATGGGATATGATGATTGGTATATATATACACCAATATATACATATATATATACATATATATATATATACATGTATATATATATATGTATATATTGTGAATATCCAACTATGTCACTGCCTCCAACGACAGGTCTTCCATGTTGATCCAACGTTCCACTGCAGACGCAAGGCTCAGGAGAGCTAGGTGTGGGCAGCGGTGGGATTTGTGTCTTTAGAGCCATAGGACGCTTCGGTTGTGACAGGGTTCACTTTGCTTTGGGCGCGGCCGCCCATACTGCCAGAGCTTTGGCCTGACCAACTTCCATCGTAGCATCCAGCTACTCCAGTTTTGTGACAACAGGCGACATCCTTGTGCGACAAAACAGATTTGGGGGAGCGCGACGGGAACATCTTTGAGAAGCCTTTTCTCTGAGTGATTTTGTATCTTTTGGTCGATAGGAAACAGTGGAGTTCACAGCAATTTCAACCATTGGTTCACAATCTCTGGAGGGTCTCCGGCCATTTACATTGGTAGCGGAGCCCTCTCAGTCTGAGAGGGCATCCGGGGAAACATGGCTATAACAGCTGCAGAGACAACGCAACTGGGGGTGAGCAATCAGTTAGCATCGTTGGTGCCGACTTTCGACCCAAGCCGTGATGACCTGGTGACTTATCAACAGAAAGTGGAACTGGTGACGGCCGCATGGCCAAAATCGAAATTGACGGAGTTGACAACACGTCTCATACTCAACACCACTGGATCGGCATTCCAGAAGTTGCAACTACATCAAGCAGAGCTGTTGACAGGTGAGGAATCCGCAATCAAGAAGCTGATAGAGCTTTTGGGTGGACAATGGGGACGAGTTCCTTTAGCCAAGAAGTATGAAGAAGCTGAGATTGCTTTGTTTCATACTCAACAACATGGAGATGAAACGAACGATTCCTACTTAGCTCGGGCTGATGTGAATTGGAGCAAGTTACTGGCACAGAAGACGACTCTGGCCGATCTTCAGGCATTCATAACCTTAAGGGGTTCAAGTTTGACTGCTGAGGACAAGAAGAAGATCATCCTGGAGTCCGAATCAGAGGGCCAGTTAACGACCAAGCGGGTTGCAGAATCAATCAGAATGCTGGGGTCAGTGTTTTTCAATGACATCACCGGCACCAAGCGTACAGTCAAATCCAAGGTGTATGATCAGACCACACTGGTGGCTGAAGCATCGCAGGATGGAGACGACCCTGATCCAACCTTCCTCGCCGAGGACCAGATGCAGGAGGACGAAGTGTTGGAACTCCTTCTTCAGGAAGGAGACAGTGATGCGCTGCTAGTTCATGATTTCGAGAGCGCCTTGAGTGAAACTGTACAGGAAGATCCGGAGTTAGCTAGTGCATACTCGGCGTACCAGGTTGCCAGGCACAAGCTGAATGAAAAGGCAAGGAACAGAGGTTTTTTTCCCAGTCGACCGTTCCAGCCGTCCCAATCCAAAGGAAAGGGGTACGGTGCTCGCAGTTCTTTCAAGGGCAAGGGCTTCTCCAGTTTCAGGCCGAAAAGGTCACTCCAAGATAGGATTTTATCTAGCAACTGCCGAGCCTGTGGCCAAAAGGGGCACTGGAAGGCAGAATGTCCGCTCCGACAGAACTCACAGAACCCAGGTTCCAGCAGTTCGCAGGCTCCAACAGGAACCGTTGTGACCGATGCCAACACCGAGACTGCCGATAGCCTGCCACTCGAATTTCTGCAGCTGCACAAGACCTGTGAAACCAGCATAGACGAAGACGTCGCCTTGTCTGAGCCCAACGAAGTTTTTGTATGTCAAATAACCTCAAGGGAAAATAGGTTGTACTATCGGGGTAGGATTCTTGGGGAATCTAGGGGGCATAGTATTAACCGACTTGGGGAAGCATGTCGCCAAATGACCAGCAGAGAACGCCTTCGCATGTCCCTGCTCAGGAATGAAGAAGATGCTCCACCGTCGATCATGTCCAGTCGCCATGTCCAATCCGTCCCAGGTCTCCACAAAGATGTGAGACCAACATGTCCCGACAGTGTCCGAAACCACAAAGAGATGCACTCACAGGCAAAGAACGACAGGTCCAGTTTTTCTAAAATTGTTCCAGAAGCCAAAGTGAGTCCAGTATGTTTTGCAACGCACACCACTTTTGGAGTACTCGACCTCGGTGCATCCAAAACGGTGATCGGAGCTGATCATGTCAAAAGTTTGATCTGCAGCCTGGATCAGTCTCTTCGAAATCGGTTGACAAGATGTAAGTGCCAGATAACTTTCAGGTTCGGAAATCAGGGTACCCTCACCAGTGACCAAGCATTAGTTGTCCCGATAGGTGACCTCATGCTGAAAATTGCAGTTGTTCCCGGAAGCACTCCGTTCTTAATTAGCAATACATTGATGAGAGCACTCCAGGCCCAGATCGACTGTGATGCCTTTTTGCTTCGAAGCCCTAAGCTCGTGCAGCCAGTCCGCATGGAACTCACTAACAAAGGCCTGTTTTTGATTGACTTGAATGAGCTGGCAAGAGCTTCCGAAAGCCCAAACAGCCTTCAGCCAGCAGCGAAGCCTGCAGTTGAAACCTTCACCACGACTGCATGTCAGGATGAAAATACCACCGTATCAGAAGAAGGTCGGAAGGGTCAGCATGAGTTGTCAGCAGAAAATCCCAAGACCTGTGGCAGAAAATCAAGAGCCAAAGGATGGTGCCCAAACATGTTCATTTGAAACTGATGTACAGGATTCTAATCAACATGCGGCGGTTCACACTAGCCTGGCCCAAGAAAGATCGCCCTCCAATTGGAAGAATACACCCCGTGCTGAACCAAGCAGCCATGTCGTTGAGCCTCCGTCTGAAGGGAATCCAGTCCAAAGCCGAGCCATCACCGAACGACGTGGCTCACCTGACGCTTCAGGACCTGGAGAACGAGACGGTGGACTTTGGGAAAAAGAACTGCGGACGCAGTTACCAGGAGATCTGGAACACCGACCAAGAGTGGGTGACCTTCATGGTAGATCGCTATGGAAAGAGCCACAACCCGTCCCACCGCAAGTTCATCAGATTTATGGAGCTCATGGTGCAACACCACGAGGAGAATCAGATGCCCGTGGTCGTCCATCAGGGCCAAGGGTACGTGGGCAGTTCTGGCCATGCAGACGGCCCGTCAAGTGCCAAGACAATGGCCAAACCCAAAACCAAGGCCAAAGTGGGTGCGGCTCCGAATACTGGCTTGATGGAGTCAATCCATTTTCCATCACTGGAAGAAGATCAGCTCGAGGAGACCGAGATGTACAACTCCATGACTATGGTGGCCGCCCCAGTGAGCCAGGATCCGGAATTCATGGCCATGAGAGATCGCCTGATGAATCTGGAAAATGCCCTGACCAAAGTGGTCAATCACCTGGAAACCTAGGCGCTGGAGAATGCCAGCCAGATTCATGGGTCAATGTAGGTCCATCGAGCATCCGATATGATGATACCGCAGATGTCCTCACCATGACCCATCGTGACACTGTGAATCTTAGGAAGTGGATAGGCATCCTGGAGCATGAATTGAGTCAAACGATCGCCACCACCAGACCACTGGGAAAGCCTTTCATGCTAGGAGAAATCTTTTGTGATGCCGAATCGACCTTGACCCATCAGGTTCGACAGCTAGGCCATCAAGCGTTCCGATTCAGCTTGGGCGATGGAGATCTTTCCAAAGTGGAAAGCCGTCAGAAATTGTTTCAATGGATTGTCCAACATAGGCCCCAACACCTGTGGTATAGCCCCACGTGTGGTCCTTGGTCATCATGGAACAATTTGAATGCCTCCCGATCCTTGGAAAATCACCTGAAGTATCAACAACTGAGATCCAACCTGATGTATCAAGTTGCCATGGGAATTGTACTTTACAGACATCAAGTAATACATGGCCGACACTTTCACTTTGAACAACCCAGCAGGTCTTTGATGTTGCATGTGCACGGCATGTCCGAGATCCATCAACACTCCCAAGCGTGTCAATTCGACATGTGCACTCTTGGCCTCAGCGACCCAGTATCGAAACTTCCGATGCGAAAGCCTATGACCGTGCTCACCACCCATCCAGGGTTATATGCCCAGCTCCATGGTAGGAAATGCATGGGTCATGACAACCACCAACGCATTGAGGGAAAGACCACGTTTGAGAAACATCCCATCTTGCGCACCGAGTTTTCCGAATCTTATCCCCGAAAGTTTTCGCGGTTGATTGCCAAAGTGATGTCCCAGTCACCCTTCCAAAGACCATTTAACTGGAATGTGGGAGCATGGTGTCATGTTGCCGAAACCCATCCGACCATTGGCCAAAAGGAGGTCCGATCAGTGTTCCGAAAGCCCAGCCAGCAGCAGGAGAAGTTTCCCAGATCGGCACTGAGCAAACCCACTCCCATGCATGACAAGGATGAGAAAAGGCGTCGGTTGACAGGAAAGCAATCCACCGAACCCTACCTGGAAGATTATCAAAGTTGTCTCCAAAAGATTCATCAGGTAACCCCCAGGGTAGGCAAATATCAGATAACCAATCGTCAAATATTGGCAGACCTTCAAAGGTTGTTCCCCGACAAAATAGTCATATCTGCTGTGGCATGTCGCGGAACCGACCGCACACTAGCTCCTCCAGCAGGAACAGTGGCCAGATTGACTCCATTTAGAAAGGCACTGATGATCATCCGATCCACTGGAGAGGTGAAGTTTGAAACTAATTGGGAAAAATGGCAAGATTTGTCCAATAGACAGCTCATTCGACCCGCCCACAGTTGCCGACTAAATGTGACCATGTTTGCCAAAGATCGAGATCCAGTCATGATCGGTGACTCACAAAGCTCACAAAGTGTGCAACCGGACGTTCCGGTAGCTGGTGAACCTGTAGATAGCCTGCCTCAACCCGTAGACACCACGAGGGCTGACGAAGTTCGCCCAATGGCACAGTCTACCTTTCCGGTCTCCAAGCCAATGACCACTGAACAGCCCAGGGATGTCACCCAGAGTGCCAATGTGATGATGTTGCCAAAATGGGAACGACTCAAATTGATGCAGATTCACAAGAACTTGGGACACCCTTCAAATGAAAAACTAGCCGTAGCCACTGCACTTAGAAACTCAGGGCAGAGACCTGAAATGGTACAGGCGGCTTTTGACTTAGTGTGTCCCAGCTGTTTGACCCACACCCCACCGAAACATCAGCGCCCAGGTTCACTCAAACCAATGATGGATTTTAACCACAAGATTTACATTGATGGGATTACCTGGAGTAACAGTGCGAAGAAGACTTTCTTCTTCTATCACGTGTTGGATGCGGGTTCAAACTTTCACACTGCCTTTTGTGCGCCGTCACACACCGCCAAAGATGTCATTCAACTGCTGTCGCAACACTGGATATCTTGGGCTGGATACCCTGCTGAGATCACGCATGACTCAGGTACCGAACTGATCAGTGAGGAATTTACGCAGTTTTGTCAACAATATGGCATCAAAACCCATGTCACGAGTCCGGAAGCCCACTGGCAGAACGGTAAGATAGAAAGGCATGTTAGGTTCGTTCAGGAAATGTTGCAAAGGATTGACACAGACCTTCCCATAAGCACTTATGCCGACCTGCAGGTAGCCCTGAACCAATGCACACAGGCCAAGAACAGCATGATAGTTCGTCATGGATACAGTCCAGAGATCATTGTGTTTGGCAAAAGCAGCAGGTTACCAGGGTCCATCATGAGTGATGAGTCAATTCCATCACATGTCTCCGCTGTACAGGAACCCGAAGATTTACATCCGAAAGGTTTCAAACACCTGTTGCAACTTCGAGAGGCCGCCCGAAAAGCCTTTCATGCGGCTGACAACAGCGACTCGATCAGACGAGCCATGTTGAGAAGACCATGCCCCGAAAGAGGTAATTATGATCCCAACACTTGGGTTATGATATGGAGAACCACATCATCAAAATCTCAGGAATGGATAGGCCCCCAACGGATTATCCTTCAAGATTCTAACCACACCATATGGACAACTCAGGCGGGAAAATTATATCGCAGCGCACCCGAAAATGTCCGTCTTGCTCATCCGAGCGAAGGGGATAGGGAAGATGGTCTTTTACCAGAGGATATAACTTCCATACAACAACAAATCACCCGAATGAACCAAAGTTTACCTGCCATCCCTGAAGCCGAGGAAATTAATAACCCAATTGACCATGATAATTTCAATAATCCAACCCCAGACCAAGAGCGCCGTGAAAGCGATCCCAGTATCACTAGCCCGATCGGTCAACCTGACCATGAGCCAGAGATCGAGAGCCGACAAGTGTCAGCTGCTGATGACACAATGCCTGCCAGTGAGTCTGAAGGCGCAGACTTCCAACTTCTCTGTGTAGAAGAATCCGAAGCCCTTTGCACCGATGCAGATCAAAATCTTGCTTGGAAATGTGAGTTTGACATAAATATTCCAGAGTCAACACAAGTAGAGAATCTTTCCACTGAAGAATCATGTATCCTACTTGCTACCAATGCCAAGAAGCAGAGGACTGAAGTGAGACTTCATGAGCTCACCAAGCAAGAGCGTGACCAATTCGAGCAAGCCAAGGCCGCGGAGGTCGCCAATTGGATCCAAACCAAAACACTGACTAAGGTACTGAGAAACCAGATACCGGAATCTCAGATTTTGCGATGCCGTTGGATCCTAACTTGGAAACCCCTCGATACAGTAGGCACCAACTCAGGGAACCCAACTGGACCAAGCCACAAGGCAAAGGCAAGACTAGTTGTCTTAGGATATCTTGACCCAAAAATTGAAGATATCCCCAGGGATAGTCCTACCTTGAATAAAACATCAAGGATGTTAATTCTACAAAGCATAGCTAACCATGGGTGGACGTTGAAATCCTTTGACATAAAGGCTGCCTTTCTACAGGGTCAACCTCAAGGCGACCGAATAATGGCAGTAGAACCAGTTCCGGAAATCCGCAAGGCAATGCAGATGAATCCAGATGAAGTGGGACAGTTGAACAAAGGGGCCTACGGCCTAATCGATGCACCATTTCTCTGGTACAAAGCCTTGGTTGGAGAACTTACTCGGCTAGGCCTCGAAACAAGTCCTTTTGATCCATGTGTTTTCATCCTCCGTGGTCCCAAAAATACCCCCAAAGAAGGTCAGCTACTGGGTATCGTGGGTATTCATGTGGGTGATGGCATATATGGGGGTACACCGGAATTCCAACAAGTCATGGATAAGCTTGAACAAAAATATGCTTTTGGTTCAAAAAGTTCCACAGCTTTCACCTTCACAGGGATAGAGCTTACCCAAAAATATGACCATAGCATTGTTATGAGCCAATCCGCATATGTCCGAAAAATCCAATCCATCCCAATTGAAGCACATCGCAAGACCCAATCTGATCTACCCATAACTGAAAATGAAAGGGGTCATCTCAGGGGTCTCATAGGCTCCCTCCAATATGCGGCGACGAACACCAGACCAGATCTATCAAGCCGACTATCACTACTTCAATCAGAAATCAACCATGCCACCATTGAGACACTTCAATTAGCCAATCGATTACTACATGAGGCAAAACGCTACCACGATGTAACTATCACCATAAAACCCATTCCAACTAAGAGCTTTAGATTCATGGCCTTTTCCGATGCTTCTTTTGCTTCAACAAAGAAACCCGACTCCCATGCTGGATCAATAATCGTAGGCACCCATGAAGATATCAATAAGAATATGCAGTGCCCGATAAGCCCACTAGCCTGGGGAAGCAAGAAAATCCAGAAAGTAGTCACCAGTACACTTTCAGCTGAAACAACGTCGCTAGCGACGGCACTGGACCAGATGGCATGGATCCGCCTTCACTGGCAATGGCTGCACGACCCAAAGACTCCATGGAGAGACCCTGACAGAGCCTTACTTCAACTCGAACCTGCAGTATCAGTATCCACCTTTCATGAAAATCAAGATGTGGCAGTAACAGATTGTAAATCTTTATTCGACTTGATTACAAGGACGGCCCCCCCATCATGTTCAGAATTCAGGGTTCAACTCATGGCCAGATCCATAAAGGAATCTCTTAAGGAAGGTATACAACTAAGATGGGTTCACACCGGAGCCCAATTAGCGGATGCCCTTACGAAGGCCATGCAGGCCCACTTCCTGAGAGAGACCTTGCACCTGGGCCAGTATCGACTGGTTGATGAAAGTACCACTTTGAAAAACAGAGCACAGTCCAGAGACCGTGTTCGTTGGTTGCGTGAACATGCAGGCATGGAGTTGGATCAAAATATAAAAAAGGACGAGTGTGAATATCCAACTATGTCACTGCCTCCAACGACAGGTCTTCCATGTTGATCCAACGTTCCACTGCAGACGCAAGGCTCAGGAGAGCTAGGTGTGGGCAGCGGTGGGATTTGTGTCTTTAGAGCCATAGGACGCTTCGGTTGTGACAGGGTTCACTTTGCTTTGGGCGCGGCCGCCCATACTGCCAGAGCTTTGGCCTGACCAACTTCCATCGTAGCATCCAGCTACTCCAGTTTTGTGACAACAGGCGACATCCTTGTGCGACAAAACAGATTTGGGGGAGCGCGACGGGAACATCTTTGAGAAGCCTTTTCTCTGAGTGATTTTGTATCTTTTGGTCGATAGGAAACAGTGGAGTTCACAGCAATTTCAACCATTGGTTCACAATCTCTGGAGGGTCTCCGGCCATTTACAATATATATATATATTTATTTATTTATTTATTGGGTGATTTAATGGATTTATTCCATTTATATGGGATATAAGATGATATATAGTGGATATAACTGATAGATGATGGTTGATGACTGGGTTTAACATTGTTTAATCATCATTGATATGGATGTTACCACTAAATATTGGGATATATGGGGAAAAATGATACAGTAAATGATGAGTGGTTGATGATTAGTTCATGATTAAATAGGGGTGTCAACCATCAAAATTATGGGGATAGAAGTGGAATTATAACAGGAATTAACAGGATATAACATGATGTAGCATGATATAACGTGATACATAACATAGTATTCAGGGACGACACAGAGTTTTGAACACTGTTCAATTCTCAAGAAATTACACTCCGGTGTCATCTAACATGGTTTGCTGAAAAATCCTCAGCTTCGTTCGATGATTTTCCAAGCTAGAAACCTCCATTTAGTCTGGGGATTTTCCCCAAATTAACATAGACCTTGCCATTGCCATGAGTTGGGGGTTGGAAGACTGGATTTTTCCAAGAAGTGATTGGAATTAGATTGATACTGTGGATGGAAGAAATCCTGCACCACCTTGGATGGTTGAAATAAATAATGGGATAAACCACCTATCAACTGGTGCAGGATTTCTTCCATCCACCTTATGTCTTGTATTTTCTTATAATGATTACCCTCTGGTAAACTAACATAACTACGTATGGAAAATCACCATTTTCAATGGGTAAATCCACTATAAATGGCCATGTTCAATAGCTATGTTAAATTACCAGAGGGTATCATATTCTGCCACATTGGAAACTCCTCCACCATCATCCTCCACCGCGCCTGTCGCTCATGGAGGCGCGCGCTTTGGAGCCTCTCCTTGGTTTTGACCAAGAGGAAACCGGGTGTCACTGGTAGTTTTGCTGGGGGTTATGATATATGATTCATATATGATATATGATTTATGATATTTTTGTGGCTTGTGTTCAGGTCGGGAAGAAAAACATGGAAAAGCTTCGCTGAATCACACAGAAAAATATCGGTTGGTCGACCGTTGGAAGTCCTGCCAGTTGCCAACCTCTCAGATGGCAATGTTCCCATGGCCTTTCAGGTTCCATTCTCGGAAATGAAATCCCCATGAAATCCCCATGAAATCCACATTACCCTCTGGTAAACTAACAGTTTGCTATTGAAAATTGCCATAGAAATCGTGGATTTACCCATTAAAAATGGTGATTTTCCGTAGCTATGTTAGTTTACCAGAGGGTAATTCCACATGAATTCCACGTTAAATCCACATGAAATCCCCACTTCCGAAGGCCCAAGCGTCAGCTTCAAGGAGCTGCTCTTCTTCCTCCCGGCCTCCTCGGCCGAACGGTCCTGGATCAAGCCGCTCATGCGGCGTGAGGCGCTGCCGCGGTTTCCTGTGGGCGCGGCTTTAAAGTGCACCTTCTTCCACTCCTTAGGGGACGGCAATGAAACTGGAGGATATACTTGATATAGGTGGTATACTTGATATACATTGATATACTTAATATAATATACTTGATATATCTTGATATACTGAATATACTTGGTATACTTGATGTACTTTGATATACTTGATTTCTTATTGGGTGTATAGATACAAATGGTAAGTTCATATGTATCCATTCCTTGGATCGAATGGCATGGGATATATGCTGAAGGCTAATCATTGCAGGTTGGCCAAGATCGGTTAAGAGGTTTTGGACATTAAAAAGAAAACACCCCAAAAAGCATATATCGATGTGTGGACATAATTCTTTAAGTTCATGGAATGGGATGGGATGGGATGGGCGATATTAGTAGTGCTTTTTCTTACAATTAAAATTGTGCTTAGGTGTGATTTACTGTTGGCTAAATGCTGGATGATGGAAATGATGGAAACTGGTGTTTTATTATGATTATGTATATATATATGAAGTTCATTGAATTTCTTTCTATCTATCTATCTACCTATGTAATAGAATGAATGGGATGATGCAGGTGGAGAATCAGCAAAAAAAACTTTGGGGAGCATGCCTTTCTGCCAGGATGTCCCAATCATGTTGCCACAAAACGATTCAAGTTGATCCAAAACGGAGTTGAACCAACGTTTTTCACCCTGACATCATAAGCTGTTTGGGAACTTTCCAATGAAGTATCGCTGTCCAAAAATTGCGTAGCCCCAAATCCACAGATCATCGTGAAAAACCATGAAAATTGGGCCTCTTGGGCAATGCCAATATACCCTCTGGTAAACTAACATAACTATGGAAAATCACCATTCATAGTGAGTTTTCCCATGAAAAATGGTGATTTTCCATAGTTATGTTAGTTTACCAAAGGGTACCCTATTTCAGGACAAAGCCATAATGGGGCTGAACATGGTGTACATCGACCAAATGGCTATTTTAATCTGGAAAATGATCATTAACCAGGAAATTTGGAGGTACATACCCTATTTTCAGACAAACCCATATGTATGTTTCACAGCTCTGTCTGTGTTCACTAAGTCGTGGACCATGCAAGAGGTGTCCAAAATCCATCCATCCTGCCAGGCAAAAAAATCCCATTTTCTCGGCGGAAGAGCAATCAAACGTTCGAGGTGGTGCCCCCTAAACGTGACGTTTGTGTCGGTTTGTTTATAACACCCAATAACTATATATATATGATATATCATCATATGTCAACCATAGTAACTATAGATATATCCACCATAGATGTTGTTGATATATGAAACCAACATGGCTAAGTATGGGGCACCACCTTGTTGTAGACCGCTGGATCCCGAACCACGAGTTATGCGCTAACAATCCTGACTAGGAAGAACTGGGGTTCGTTGGGAGAAAATGAGGACGGAAAAAAAAAAAAAAAAACATGTTTATCCACATGTCCTGAAGTTAACAAAATTTGTTGACCCTAGAAAAATATGGATGCTTTATTAACTTTGACGAAGCACTTTGGCGTGTCCTTTTGTTTCCTACCCAAGATTTTGACCCTTTTCACCCATGATTTTCAGCATCCGCAACAAAAAAGTGTTTTCAGTGGCCATTTCAAGAACCTAACTTGGAGGTACCTAGCATATATATATATAATTAAAATATATTATATATATATACATATAAGGTCTATGTAAGGGCTACATTTCAGGGGATATATCCCCAATGTCTATGGCCATCATGGTCAAATCTAGTCGCCCGGGCCGGGTCCTGCAAAGTTTGGAACGGCATAGCAGAATGAATTCCACCCCAGATGAAAATCTCATCCGCACTGGTCGCCAAAGCAGAGTGGAGCGTTCCTAGCGTCAAAGCGCCGCAGCAACTGCAAGTCCAGGTCGAGTGACGTGGAAAACACAGCGTTTTCAAGTCGTGGGAATGTGCAAAAATAGGGTTTAACAAATCAATGGGAAGTTGATGTGAGGGTTCCTTGTATTTCCCATTATCCATCAAGATCATATTTTTTGGAATTTTGGGGAGTGAAGAACATGTTCACCACGATTGAACGGTCCCCGGAGCAGATTCTCATGGTCTTTCCATTGCTTCTCCCTTGGTTTCATGATGTTTCATGTTCTAAGGACATTCTACATTTAAACAGGAATCAATGCTATATAGGGAAATCTATCACGGTGTGAAGGTCACAGTCTTTGACTTACCCTTCCCACTGAGAAAACCCTGTATATCTTCGGGGGATTAAAACATGTGCGATGGCACAACCTTCCCTGGAAAACCCATCTACCTGGGAAAACAATCACCAAGTCGAGGTGTTGGGAGGTTTGTCTCAAAATGGTGTACCCCACTGAGTGCAGCCTTTTGAATCATCGTTGGTTCACATGAAGATTGCTAACTAGTGGGGGGTATACCTCATTTTTAGACACAGAGCGCTGATTCGATGCTTCCCTTGCTAAACCTCACAACGGATCACTGGGAATGCAGAGAACCAGCCATTTTGTGGCCTGGAGCCACAACATTTGGAGATATACAAACCAAAACTCGTGCAGATTCCAAAAAATCACAATGTGCTGTCCTAAAAAAAATAAAATCGGTGTACTGATGTGTTCTGGTTTTCTACTTCTACTACAAAATACCATGTGTTTTTGTGGGATCACGACCTTGAAACGGTGCCGTTTAGCGACTCGCAGGAGGAACTTGAGACGCAGCGTCCAGCTCAATGGGTGACCACTTGCATTCGCCCCGGGCGCCTCGGGGGCTGGGCGCCTTCAGAGATATTTTGACGCAAGCTTAATATATAATATAGATGTATATAATATAGATAATATATAGTATATTTATACATATATAATATTTATAGATATTATATATAATTATGTGGTATTGGTATATATATATGTGTAAATATATACCCTTTGGTTATGACTAACATAGCCATGGAAAGATCCACCATTTTTAATAGGTAAACCATCTATTTCAATGGGCCATCTATACCATGGCTATGTTAAATAACCAGAGGGTAATATACATGTATATACCAAAAACTGTAGTCTATTTTCCGAAGGTCCCCAACCCCCTTTTTTTTCCACCTTAAGGGGGTGGGGATCATATATATATATATATACACACTCTGTAATTGTATATATAATATATGAAATTCAAACATATAATTATATAATATATTACTTTTGAAGTTGGGTAGTATTAAGCAACCCCAACAGGGGGTCGTTAAAAAAAGCTGGATCCTTGCCTGGAAAAAGCAAGTCAGATCCACCTCTCATCATGCGTAGCTCTACCTGCTATAGTTTCTTTGTTTGCTGATCCTTGGAAAAAAAATGCAATTCTGATTGGTGGTTTCAACCCCTCTGAAAAATATTAGTCAAATGGGATTATTGTTCCCAATATATGGAAAATATAAAATGTTCCAAACCACCAACCAGAATTTGTAAGGGAATGTCTAATCATTGGTAAAAGCCCACAAAACACAACATGAGGAGAGGCCTGCGAAAATACAATGTGGGGCTCCCAGTGAAATGTGTGTTGGTTTATAACCCCCATTAAGATTCCATTCAGTATATAGTTATAAGATGTTATAAGTTATAAGTATCATAGACCATAGTTAATAGTTATAGGAGGCATGTTCACCAACTTAGCTATCATAAATCAGCTCCAGAGCTCCCATGAAATCCCCATTTTTCTGGGTTCAATCACCATTTTCCTATGATTTTCCTATTATTTTCCTTTGATTTTCCTACAATTTTCCCAGTTTCGAGGGCCAAGAAACCCAGCTTCAGCACAAACAAATCGCTGTTGGGCGCGGGGTTTCCCTGATCGTTCCTCTCAGGTCATCCAAACATCAGCCATCGGTTCACAAGGTGGTGCCCCAGCTTGGAATCGCTAAGTAAACCCAGAAAAATGGGGATTTTATGGGATTTATACCTGATTTATGATAGCTAAGTTGGTGAACATAACTCCAATTTCACTATGTTTTATGGTGTAGATATATCTATACTTACTATGGTTTATAAGCCAACGTTCACATCACTGGGGGGGCACCAGCTTGTAGAATTTGGCTTCTGAAAATTCCCATGGGAAGCATGAGCAATTTACAAAAAAGGACCAGGGCAGGATTTGATGGTTGTGACTCTCAAGAGGGAATCATCATGTCTTGAATGTTTAAATCAACAACTAGCATACACACAATGTGGTGTCCCATAGCTAAGTTCGTTTCAAATCGCCAAAAAGGGGCTATGAATATGCTAGGCTGCTAGATATATCTTTAGTTCATGAGCTTTTTTAGCCAACTTATAACAATGGGGGCACGACATTGCATGGAATCCCCGAGGTCCAATTGTAATGTCCAATTGTTTGATCTGGATTCGGGAATGGGTCAAAATGGGTCCGCCAAAAATGGATGGTTCATACTAAAATATAGATCTGGTTGGTGGTTTCAGTCAATGGGAAGGTTTATCCCACATATTATGGAAAATATTAAAAAAAAAAAAACAAACCACCAACAAGAGCTAGATTTTACATGATTTACATGATTTTACTATCAACAAGGATTATATATATATATATATGGACCACCAACCAGAGATCTATCAAAATAGACTAAGCCAATCTAAGCCATCCTGTGGTAATCTGCTGGACCCATGCCCATCCACATTGGTCGTATGGCAGTCCTCCTTCCATCCATACCACCAAACCTGAACGCGCCATTGCCATGGGGGATGATCGAAAATCCGCCCATGTGAAAAAATTGTCAGACTCTTAGCTTGGGTGGATCCCACGCGAAAAAAAAAAAAAACACCGAGAAAACAGATGAAAAGATGAAAATGCCCATGAAAAATAGGTGGGCAAATCGCCTCACAAAAACAACGAGTTCCCTCCGCAAATCCCCACCAGCTCTCCTTACCTCACTACATCAAGGTGATCATCCAACTTTTTGACTCTCAAAATCGACTCAGCACATCTGGAGGCCTAAAAGGTGTCCTAAAATTTCTGGGAATCCCAAATCATCCAGTGGTGGATACCCTCTGGTAAACTAACCTAACTATGGAAAATCACCATTTTTAATGGGTAAATCCACTATAAATGGCCATTTTCAATCGCTATGTTAGTTTACCAGTGGATAACCATGACTTGAAACTGTTGTGCCCCGGTGACCACACAAGATCCAGCCAAGGCACAGAAAAAAGCCTTCCACATAGGCATTGCGAATGGGCGTCAAGGTATGGCCAGCTCTAGGTGTGACCGTCCTTTCCGCATCTCCTGATTGATTCAGTTTGACCCATGCGTATGGAAATGGCATGGTTCTTGGCCTCAGCAGCGCGGCTGCTTGGGAAGGCTGAGGTGCTTGATGTGCAAAGACAGTCAAAACATGGTAAAAGCATGGCAAGAGTTACCCTCTGGTAATTTCACATAGCTATTGAAATGATTGACATATGAGGGTTTCCAAAGTCATGGGGGTACCCCCAGTCATCATCCATTTTTCTGTGGGATTTTCCATGGAATAAACCATCCAGCTATTGGGATATCCCCATGACTCAGGAAACCCCCATCCAGAGGCTACTCAGAATTGGATCTGCATGATGACAAAACGATGTCTGATGCAGCCACGCAGCCGCTGTTAACGGGAACCTCAGTGGGGTTGGTGGTTGACCTACCCCTCTGAAAAATATGAAAGTCAGTTGGGATTATTATTCCTAATATATGGAAATATAAAACATGTTCCGAACCACCAACCAGATAAGTGTAATTCATTACTTTGCCATTATATTGCCATTCTATGCTGAGTAGATAAGCCATTTGCAGACACCGCTTGGCGGTCTAAGCAAGCTGCGTAGGTCCACAATATACACACCTCAGGGCGAAACACATTGGGGGATCACCAGTACCGCCAGGTCTATGTTCAAGGGCAAAACTAATTCTTGATATTAAGCTAAATATTAGACTAATAAAATAACATGGTTTAATAACATGGTTTATTATGTGGTTTATTGTTTGGGGGGAAAGTCCCCAAAATGGTGATAATCTGATACTTTTCCATGGCATCCCCCTATCAAACAGTCGTTTGGGGCTTATCAATACAGGGTTGACATCAACCTTTCAAAGAGATCACAATAAAGGTATTCACTCAGAATATCTTCACAAACATCACAAACATGTATCCAATTGTATCGAAGGTATGGGCGAAGACCGGGGTCCCTTAAAAAACATAGGCCATCTTACCCCTCAAATTTTTCGTGCTCCGGCCGAGGCTCAAAAAAACAGGTTTGGACAACAAACAAATACACGAACGACTTGAGCCACACAGCGGATCACCAGTTGCATTTCCATGCGCCCAGTGGATCCAAAAAAGGTGCTGGAAATTCCACCATTGAGTTGGGGGGTACTTCCCAGCCATCTTTGATTATCGAAGGATAATGTCCCCCAATAGAAATGAGTGGCGACAGGGTGTTTTTCTTCGGAATCTTCCAAATTCTACGCCAGTTTCGGAACAGTTACCTACTCCTCTGGAAGACCAAAAAAACCTCCAGATGACACAACGAATCTTTTCACTGTTTAAACATGCTTGAAACCTTCATTTTCCCCATGTTTTTACGGCCTCTTTTTGAAAATGCTCTTAAATCCCCCCATTTTCAGGTACCAACCGGTACCAACCTCCGCGCAGTGATGGCCACCCAGGCGTCACGTCGCCGAAAAAAACCGGTGCCTTTTGCGCAGCAGCTTCTGCTGAGCCGAGCTCTTGATGGCCTCGACTTCAAGGAGAGACGCTTGAGAAACTCTTGGATTTCTCTGGATTTATGGTAGATAAGGGATTCTATGGGGTTTTATGGGAATTTCAGGGTGATGATATGGGATTTGGGGGATATACCCGGCCTGGTAAACTAAGAGTTTGCGAACTGGAACATGACCATAGAAAGTTCGTTGATTTACCCAGCTAGAAAATGCTGATGTTCCATAGTTATGGAAATGTTTACCAGAGGGTAGTTGATGGAGATTTTAGATGGCTTTTAAAGCAACTTATAACTGGCCACCTTTTGGCAGAGATGACAGGGTGGTGATGATTTTGAGTGCTGGGGGTTTTGCTTCGATGTAATGTTCTTTGACCAAAATCAACCAACAGTCACTTAACCCTTGGAAATTGATCATAAAGGAGTTTAAAATTCCAAGTCCATGATCCATTCTGCAGTGTCCCAAAGAATGCAGAGATTGGGTTGGGATGTTCATCGGTCTAAACGCTTTTGTAGCGCTAGAAAAGGAATACTAAGAGTCTAACCAGAAAGTTTCTCACTTTTGTGAGTACACTTAGCGCTAGAAAAGAAGTACCAAGAATAGTCTGTGAATACACTGACACTAATTGAAATTAAGAATTTGAAGGACCCTAAACCTGATCCTTGCGGAATCTTATCCAACGTTCAGGACGTAACTCAGAGTCTTTGTCAAGTCTGAGAATTGACATGGGTATGGGTCATTTTCTGAAAACAGGACACCCAACTCACAGATTTGGATGATCAGTAGTGTAGTAAACCATCACGATTTTTGGCCACGCAATACCCTCTGGTAATTTAACATAGCTATTGAAAATGGCTATTTATAGTGAGTTTTCCCATTAAAAATTGTGATTTACCATAGTTATGTTAGTTTACCATACGGTAATGATCATGGTTTCTGTATACCTGTTTCATCTGTAGTGCTAACCCCTGATGCTGGTCAAATCCTTCTTTGTTGGGGCTGGCATCCTTGATTTTTGTTGATATCTATTCCCTTTTTATAGTTACAAAAATCAAAATATGTTTTTGGTCATTTCTTCATACAATGTGGGGCCCCCCAGTTATAAGTTAGTTTAAGTTAGTTTATAAACCCCATTAACATCCATTAACTATTGTTATAAGTACAATAAACCATAGTTATTAGAGTTATAAACAACTTAGCTATCGTTTCGGGGCCCCACATTGTACCCTCCGGTACTCAAACATGGCAATGAACAATTCCCCATTTCATTCGATGAAATCGCCATGTTTGATGACACCAGAGGGTGCCTTCCACTTTGGTTAAAGGACCCCAAACTTTGATGGTTTACAATCCCCAAAACTGTACAAAGAACGAATTTGGGGAATAAAAACTGGTGAGTTTCAAGCGTGAAAATTCTCCAACTAAGACAATCCAGTGTTAAATGTTCTCCAGATATCCCAATTGATATATTATAAATGGCATCAACAAATTATCCCATCGCCAGGTCGCCTCCGTCTCTGACACTTGAGCCTGGCATCAAGGACTTGAGTTAGCCATCGAAAAAGGGGTCATGATGATGATGATGATGATGAAGATGATGATGAAGATGAAGATGAAGAAGATGATGATGATGATGATGATGATGGTCATAATGATTCTTATTATTCTGGTGTGGATTCCACCAACTATTTGGATAATTATGATGTGGTCAACGGTAAAGTAATTGGGACTTATCCAGCGAAAATAGGGTTGGATTTTCAGGGCTGAGTTGTACTAAGCAACCACTCCACTTGGTTTACCTATTTTGATGCTTAACTCCCCTGGTTAACTTGGTTAAAGCCCCCCCATGTTTGATGGTTAGTCCATAGCCCCATCCCAAGTTCAGAAACATGCTCCACGCCTCTGTCTCCAGACGTGTCTTTTCGGCGCGGGATTTTTCTTCTTGCTCCTGAGGCATCAAGATGTTTGGATGGGCAAAGGGTGTGTCATCCAGGAGTTGGCTATTTCCGCAGGTTTCAAATGTAGTTACTGAACTTAGTTTATTGAAACCTAAGGAAATCGCCAACGCCACAAATAATCTCCAGTATTTTATAGTGTTGAAGCTAATGCACTAAGTTATTTACCGTATTCTATAGTTGATGAACTTACTTACTTTAGTTAAAAAAAAACACGAAAACCTGATTCAGATTGATTCAGTATATATTGGATCTGTTCATTTCTGCAGGCCAGTATGGGGGGTATCTATAATATTAAAGGGACAGATTTAACCACCACATGTTATGTAAATTACCATCTAACTATAGTAATTTCTTCAGTCATATGTACTTATAGATAGTTAATTGCATAGTTAATTGCCATCTAATTATTAATCCTGGAATCCTATCCATAGTTACAGTAATTACAGAAAAATATGCACGTATTTGAGTGCAATCTAATGCTATCCTTAGTGAATTACTTCAGCTATGGCCTTAGCCCATCCCTTCCCCGTCCTTTTGGGCCTTTCTCAGTTGCTCTAGTCGCTCCTGGAGAACCAGCGACTACGGCGCCACGGGAATTGGCCTACGGAAAATCAACTTCTCGGAGATTCTCAGAGAAACCTCCGTCTTTGGAGATGCCATTCATAGTTTCAACATACCCATTCAACATGGTCCCAAATAAATATGTGTAAATCTCCAATTTAAACCATGGGTTCTGGGGATGATATTATAATGTATTCTATGGTGTAGTGGTGTGTAGTGTGAACGTCCTGGTTATATTGAAGCAGTTCATGATACTGCAGTGCACTGAATGACACAATGTTGACACTATTTAATGCTGATCATGCAGCTACCGACCCATACCAGTGGCTTGTCAAGTGTCCAAACTGCTCTAAACAGCGACAACTCTCATAAGATTGTCATACGTGTTCCTTACTTGTTTTTGGGGTAAAAAGATTCAGAAAGGTCGAAAAAGTGAAGAAATTTGGTGCTGGGTCAACCTGAGCTACCCTGATTTTCGTCAACTTGGGAACCTGCTTGGGCCGAACTTTGTCCCATGGCAGCTTTGAAGCCGCCTGAGCTAACCATGCCTGGCGAGAGTTTTGAGACTACTAGAGGTGGATCCACGAGCAAAATTATTCAAGACTTAATCCAATCAAGATATTGACCTCAAATCGTCTTACCCTCTGGTAATGACTAACAGTTTGCTATTGAAAATGGCCATAGAAATAGTGGATTTACCCATTTAAAATGGTGATTTTCCATAGCTATTTATGTTAGTTTACCAGAGGGTAAATATAGTCTTAAATATAGTCTTAAATATAGTCTTAAATCTACTTAAGGGACTTTTGAGGATTTGGGATATCTGGTTGAAGGTCAATCGTGGCCTGCACCTCTGCCTTGGTTTTCCCATGCTGAGAAACCACCATCCTTGTGGGTCAGTGGATAGTGGAACCAGCTACTTATCCCACCTCCCATGTTCATCCGTTGTCCAAGCTTTCTACCCCACTATAACCACTTATATATTATATGTATATATATATATCATATCATATCATATCATATCATATCACATGTTACATCATTTTACCACTATTTCAAAGATGGGATTTGATCCTTTGATGCATCGTTTGAATTGGGTTGACGACCCAAAAGAAAACAACAAAATCACCTCCACTTGGAAGTGCAGTTCCAGTGAACTAAGTGGATAGGAGAAAATAATGTTATAAAGGGGCCCCATATCCCAACAACCATGGTAAGTTCTATTTTTAACCCCTATAACTATAGTATAGTATGACTATCCCAACGTTATAGCCATAAGTCGGGCCTTGAAAATCCCACCAGACTTAGTTCACCAAAATATCACATGATATAATCTATATAAGGGGGCCCCATATCCCAACAAACATTAGGAATGCCTAAAAACCATGTTAGCATATCTTATAGCCTCTGGTAAACGTTTACATAACTATATGGAAAATCACCATGTTTAATGGGAAAATCCACTGTAAATGGCCATTTTCAACAGCAAACTGTTAGTCATTACCAGGCCGTAGCCATGTTAGTTGGGGACACTGTTGGATCTGCATCCCCGAAACGCGGCGCCTCTAAGCCTTCCACATCCTCCGCCTCCAACGCCAAGTCCCCAGTGAGCTCCAGAAGTTCAAGGTCCTAAGGGCTCCACCGAAACAACCTTTGGGCTTCTGCAAAGGACAACAGTTGGGATAAGGTGGGCAGGTAAGTGGTCCTTACCCTCTGGTAAACTAACATAGCTATGGAAAACCACCAGTTTTAATGGGAAAATCCACTACAAATGGTGATTTTCCATTGCTATGTTAAATTACCAGAGGATATCCCAACTGTTGTCCTTTGCCTTAAGGAGTGTTTTGGGCAGGTAAGTTGGTGAAGATATTTCTTTTTTTGCCTTTTTTTTGGTGGGATTGAGTGACCACAACATGGCAGTTATGCTAGATTCATCGAACTTAGATGGGTGAATACAAGCCCGCACACATAACTGGTGGGGAGGGGGCAAGTTGTGAGAATGAGACGAAAGGAGCTTTTGCTGGCGCTGTTTTTGGAGATGTTCTTTGTTACGCGCATGGAGTTTCTCCTTGGGCTTGGTATGGCCTGGTTTATTTCTGAGCCACCAACTTACCATTGGAGGATCATCCAACCTTGTACCCTCTGGTAAACTAACATAACTATGGAAAATCACATTTTCTAATGGGTAAATCAACTATAAATGGCAATTTCCCATAGCTATGTTAGTTTACCAGAGGGTAACTGGTTAGTAACCCTGGCTAGTAAGTCCCCCCAAAATCGGATTATAGGGAAACCAAAACCAACTAGGTTAGTAAGTCCTAAGTAAGACTGGATACTAAGTCTGGTACTAACCAGTGATACTTAGTAATATCCAAATCGGTACTAAGTCTTACTAGTTTATCAGTGGATTATAAGCCGACGAAGTACCCTCTGGTTAACTAACATAACTATGGAAAATCACCATTTTCAATGGGTAAATCCACTATTTCTATGGTCATTTTCAATAGCAAACTGTTAGTTTACCAGAGGGTAACCAGTCTTTAAGTGGATCCTCCCAGGACATCTCCGCCGGTGACCTGAGATTCGAATTCCCCCAGATGAAGTGATGAATTCCTATGGTATTGAAATGACCATAGAAATAGTGGATTTACCCATTGAAAATGGTGGTTCTTTCCATCGTTTTTTGTATGTTATTGGAAAATTCCAAAACATGAAACCACAAATCAGAATTGATAGTCGAACAATTCGAAAGTAAACTTGCAAAAAACTTATAGAATTCCTATGAAGTTCAAGATGTTCTCCAAGTGTTTGTTGCTTTAAAAAAAAAACGTGTCTTATGGTGTTTTATCTCCTCGGGCAATCGTCCAATTTCCGATGTTTTTCGACCGCACCTCAAAAGGATCCCAGCTCTCGAGCTCCTTGGACATCAAACATTGGGACCCAAGCCGTGAATCATTCCCAGATGTGGTATGGTTTTTTTTGGGATATGTGGGACTATATATAACTATAGTAATATATAATAACTCAACCAGATGTGGGACTATATTCATTATATCGGACTTATATATAGTTATGAGAATGTTATGAGTATCCCAGATGTGGTAAATATATGTAAATATTCCATACATGGAGCATCTGGGTATGCTTTCCTATGGTGACTAATTTTGGAACGATGTTATAACATTGCATAATGTGGGTAAAACAATGCCATAAACCACCCATGTGGGAATAGTTTATAGCACCTATGATGGTTTATGGCACTGTTTTACCATGTTTTACCCACATAAAAATTCATGAACCTGAAATACGGCGAAAAAAATGGGAAGTCTCGCATCATTCCAGTGAAGTCGGCTAATACGAGACCCCCAGCTGGATGAATTACAGTAATTCCCTGATGCTTCATGTAGGATGTAGCTACATTTGGATGTTCTTTGGGGTAAATGTAGTACCCTCTGGTTATTTAACATAGCCATGGAAAATGGCCCATTTATAGATGGTTTACCTATTAAAAATTGTGATTTTCCATGGCTATGTTAAATAACCAGATGGTACATGTTGATAAATCTTCCAGCACCATGGAGCATATGGGATGAAAACTAACCTCGTTCAACACCTCAAAAAATGAGGAATATATATATATTATATTATATATATATATGAAAATGCTTGGTGAATGGGATGGTTTGCGAGATGAAGTTTACCACATGACTGGCCTTTCATTTCATCATGATTCACAACCTCAAGATACCTTTTTTCTTGCGGCCAGCTATGGGGATGATTCCCCCAGAAACTTTCACCACCGGCGTGACGGTGTTGACGACCTCAGGTCAGTATAATTCATAAAGGAAATCATGGGAGTACAGAAATTCCAGCTGTTTCTTTACCCATAGAAATTGGGATTTAACTTGACCAATGAAAATATGGTGATTCAAGATAGAAACTTCCCATGCGAGGAAAAAAAACACGGTTGAATCAAGTGAATCATTCTGAACATTGGCATTGTCTAGATTCAGGGAATTGATAGGGAGTAAACATGAGTAAACCCTGTAGTTGTGCAAGCAAGTTTGGAAGAAATCTGGAAAGATAGCCCACCATGGTATCTTAGAATCACCCCGTTACAAGGTCCTAATATGTCCCAATGTCAAAAAAAAAAACTCCAACATAACTATGGAAAATCACCATGTTTTCTGGTAAATCATCGAACTAGATGGCCATTTTATCCATAGCAACCTGTGAAAAATGACCGGAGGGTATACGCCTCATGAAGGGGTTACGATTTCCATACCATAGACTTCTGGTGAGATCCATCACGAATTCGAACATGCTGATGAATAAAAGTCAACCAAACAATTTGGATGATTCTCCAGACCTAGTTACCCCCCCAAAAAAATGGGATGTGCTTTCAGTCAATTTCTTTAGAAAAAACAAAACACTTTCTTGAGAACAACCCAGTGAATAGTTCTCCATTACCAATTTGTTTGATCCAAGCACGTACCCTCTGGTAAACGTTTACATAACTATATGGAAAGATCCACCATTTTTTATGGGTAAATCATGGTAAATCCACTCTTTCTATGGCCATTTTCCAGTTCGCAAACTGTAAACGTCATTACCAGGCCGGGTATATCCCTGGCTTGTCTCAACTTTGCGACTCCAGCATCCCCATTGACATGGCCATGTTGGGATCAGGGGATGGGCTGTCCATGTCGAGAATCTCCCATGTTTCATGGTGAACTCACCATTCGTTACATCTTTTCAACCATCGCAACGATGGTTAACTGGTTAACTCATGTTGACTCCCAATGTAAAAACCATGTTTCTTGTCAAAATCGATGGTCAATCTGTGATAGTCCACAAAAATCATCTGCTGTTCTGGTGATATTTTCCATTTGTAGGGACAACCAAATCAATGGGAATTCCAGGATCCTAAAATGGAGGTACTGTACCATATAAGGCCATATTTCGGAGGTATATCCCCTTACATAGGCCTTACATATGCCTTACATATGGTAGGTACCTCCAATTTAGGTTCCTGAAATGGCCATTGACCAAAGGATATGTCACTAGCCATCCAGTTAAGTCACTGAATCTCCTGTCGACCATCCGTCCCGACGGTCCCGCAACCGCAGGCCTCTTTGGCAGTCGTCTGAGCGAAGGGATCCCAGGCGGTGCGTTCCTGCGGCAGGAACGAAGCATCGGTGAAACATGTGGTGCCTAACAGTGCTGAACTATGAAACAAAAAACAACTTGATCCATAGACTAGATGATGATAGATGATGATAGATGATGATAGATGATGATAGATGATGATAGATGATGACAGATGATGGCAATTGATGGAGAGAATTTGCTAAGTTGGTTTACAACTCCACTGTTGGGTTTATTCCAGATTCATATCGAAGTAGTGAAGGGTGCTAGTTTTTCAAGCAACACACAGCTTTTCCCCACCTTGTGAAGTACAGAAGTTCCAAGATTCAGCAGCATCCCCAGACCTGATAACTTCATTACATCCTAGTTGAACTATAGATAACTATAGCAGTTCCCTCACCTGGAAATAGCTGAACAATCGAAAACGGCCAGCTTGTTCATGTGGATGATTCCCGGAATCCACATCATCGAAAACGGGAATTTTCGACCTGAGGTCACGATCAAATTCATCCAGAACATATCATATTAAATTGCTGATTACTTATCAACAGTGATCAATTATTCCATATATTGGGCAGTGTGTTGAAGCCCCTACAATCATCAACCAACAGTTTGAAACATCTGGTTGCTGAGACAAACCCCTAACTCAGTTATCGGGTTGGGTTGACCCCCATGTAGCTCCAGGCTTTCGATTGAACATGATAAATTATGGCTACTGTTCCGACATATAACACATGTTTATAATTGTTTCTGAAAATGGTGGGATTAGCCCCCAAAATGGCAATCTTAAAGGGGAAAATGATGAGTAACCATCAGGTTTGAGGGATTTAAGGCCCAAATGTTCCGATCCCACTCAATCGTACCTGGCACGTAACCCAAGTACAGTAATGTGGTAAACCCTATAATTAATAAATCATCCCATTAACCAACCATTTGAGCGTGGTTTTACATCATCCCACCCAATCATAAACCTCTATTGGGGATTTACCACATTAATTACTACTCATGTGCCGGGATTGGGATGCTTTATGATTGAGTTTGTCACATGACAATTACTACTCATCTACCAGGTTTTTTTCGCAACCAGGACCCAACAGACCCGGCACCCTGAACCATGGGAGATTAGGACCCTTCCCTTGAGTTCATGGGCAACATGCAAGTCCAGTATGGGATCATCAGCCCACCAGCCAATCCCAGCGCCAAAAGAGTTACACAATGGTGCTGCTCCATGGTCTAGACCTAAACCAAGCGAGTTTAATTCAGGAATCTTGGCATCCCAGTCCCATGTAAAAACCCTCGTCCTCCATGGCAACATTGCAGGGCTGAGACGCGACAACCGCTTTGGCTCGGATCAGGAGTGTGTGAATCTGTGCTGCTGGTCATCATTGGATTTTTTTAAAAACAGCCGCCATATTACGATGGCAAAATAGGGGATTCAAACATCTTTGGGACGACAAAAGTCTTAGGGGTGCTGAGATGATTGATGGGAGATGGGATTGGCTAGGGTTCAATTTGTACCCCAGGGTCCATGTGTACTGCAAAATAACAAGTTTTGTGGGTCCATGTTTACGCCAGATCCTGGGGCTCTCTATATATATATTATATATATACATATGTATATATATATATATATATGTGTATATATATATATATATATGTATATATATATATATGTATATATATATGTATATATATATGCATAGAATTGGTGATATCAACGTCCAATAATTAGTCGTCCAATGATGTCTTTTGGAAAATCATAACATTTGCGAAATGGTCTGCTGCCATCATTCATCTACTGGCCGTCTGCATCCGAGCTTGGAATGGTTTCGATAGACCGGTAGACCTCCATTGAGTTCCCGGTAGCTCCATGGCTGGTTCCAGAATTTTCCACAATTGATGACACCAGATACCCGGCCTGGTAAACCTACAAAAAACTATGGAAAGATCCACCATTTTGCATGGGAAAACTCACTAATTATAAATGGCCATGTTCAATAGCTATGTTTGTTTACCAGAGGGTATCTTCCGCATCACTGTTGGTGAGGACCAGATGCGAGTAACCGTGGCTGCTCATCTGTCTATTTTGCTCCAGCGAAGCAGCAAATGCACGCGGCGTTGGAGGTATCCCTGCCTAAGGTTGCTGTGGCTGTGTGCGACTCAGTCATCAACATGGGTGTGTCTGAAAACGGGGATGCCAATCTATAGTTTTAATGGGAAAAAAAATGGAAAAATCATGTTCCAAATTTTGGGGTCCATGTTCAGAGAAACCCAGAGCCACATGGCATTGTTGGAGAAGCCAATTCTTGAGTCATGACATGTGTTGTTGGATCCGGCACACAAAACTGACATGTTGGTTGGGGGATGCTTGGGACGTGATAAACTGAGTCAATTCTGTTTATGATCTAAGGGACGAAAATAACCCCCTAAGAGACATGATCTGTTTCTTCAGTGTCTTGGAGGATTGAGACCCAAGGCCGGAATTACAAAACAAAGCAGGTAGGGATACTATAGAATTATTGGGATATATGGTCGGATGTAGCTAGTTTTTCCTTAAGACAGCATACTACCAACATATTCTATGTGTACCCCCTGGATTTGAATATTCTAAGTGCTAACCACCCCTGCTCATTTATGTTAAAAATTAACATAAATCCATATTCTAAAACTTTAATCTTTTTTTGGTATTCTAACTGCTGGTCCTCCACGGTACAGATGCGCTACTGCCTGTAATGAATACCTCATGCTAATGCTGGAAATTGTGAAAGTCAAGTGATTCTTCCAAGCCCATCTTACTATGATTCTGGAAGTAGAAACCAAATGCTTGAGGACAATGTCCCAAAGTGAGGGAGGGGCTTCTGCTCCGCTACATGTGAAAGTCAACCAAACTCATTTTTCGAATTTCAGAGGGATGAAAACAAGTGGTGACGTGTGTATATTATCACGACAAGGTGAGGCACGGTAGCTAAGTTGACTTATAACTTGGTGATTTCTATGGTGGATTAGGGGAATATAACTAACTTCATATGCTTTGTAAACCAACAAACCTAGGGGGGCCTCACCTTACTATTCTCCGGGATTTTGTCAAGTCACCATAGGTTACAAAGTCATGGTCATCCATGACGACTGTATGATTTGGGGGTTACCCTCTGGTAAACTAACAACGAACTCAAAGGACCATGTTCAAGTTCGCAAACGGTGAGTCATTACCAGAGGGTAAGTGGATATTGAACCATAGATATTCTGGTTATATCATGTTAGATCCAAACTTATGCCATAACTTATGGGGCTTACGGTGAAAACCATGAACAACCAGAGGGTAAAACCCTGGGTTCCAGACATCCAAGACACGTCCAGGACGCATCAGGGAGCCACTCTGGCGTCGAATCACTTTCGTCCCGCCAGAACACGGCCCGATTCTCCGCATAACCTTGGAAAACGCAGTAGAAAGCTGTGGATTTTGAGGTTAGGAAATAGGATTAACAGCTATAGTAATTAATTTTCCCTTAACAGCTAGTAATTATCCCAACAATGCTAGTTTTCATGGTAGTTTGAGATGGTTTTATGTGGTCAATTAAGGATAATAATATAATAATGGGATAATAGCAGAGTTCTCCTCCAGCAAACATGGTTTGCTGGAAAACACCCTGGCAGTTCGAGGATTTTCCCAGCTAGTATCACCACCACTTAGGCACCAATGATGGTTGACCCAAACAAAATGTCAACACGTTTCAAAACGTGATGCTCAACAGGCTGAACCCCCAAATATTCTACATCCATGTACCCTCTGGTTATTTAACATAGCCATGGAACATCACCATTTTTAATAGGTAAACCATCTATAAATGGGCCATTTTCCATGGCTATGTTAAATAACCAGATGGTACATCCCTAGTTGAATGCTAAATGCAACAAGCAAACCAACATCTTCCGGAACACAGCCCCAAATTCTACCAGGCGCCCCCCCCTTGTGAGTCTCGCAGCTGACAGTTGCTTTTGACCCTGGGAAGTACAGCGCCGGCGACTTTTCCGAGGGAACCAACCATAGTAGCATAGTTACCTGATGCGGGGCAACCAAGATCAGACCAAACGACGAAATCCCCCACACCACTTGGTGAATTCGTTTGGATTGAGGGATTTAGAGCTGTCCTTAGTGGCTCTAACCAACATCACTGGGGGACCGGGGGACCTCATCTTGTAGGACCCTGGTATAGATAAAGAGATAGAGCAACAGGAGCTGAGATTCTTGCACCTCCTTGTAGCCTCGCACGCTTTTCCAAAAATAAACTCTGCTCAAATGATAATATGAATAGGGAAAATAGTGATTAACCATCAAATTTAGGATTGTATCCCATTATAGTCCAGTCATATCCCAATATGTTACCAATGTTTGATGATTAAAACATGTGAAAAACCAATGTTTCATTGTAAAAGTCAAGTTTTTCATGGTAAATTCTCAATTTGTTCATCCTAAAATCCCAGCGTTTGATGGTTAAAGTGCTAGTTGTTTCATGGTAAAACACCAACGCCACCGCCCAACTCGCACCTCTGCCCCGGACGCCAGGAACGCTCTACGCGCTCTGCCCTCACCCAGCGCTTTGGCGACCGCGACGTCGCAGAAGTCGCCCAGCATCGGCAAGACCTGGGACCCCCACTTCAAGGAATAGATTATTTGGATATATATATATATATGTATAATATATATATATATGTGTATAATATATACATATGTATAATATATATATATATATATGTATAATATATATATGTACAATATATATATATGTATTAAAAAATATCTATATGTGTATAATATACATATATGTATATGCTATGTGTATATACATATGTATATATATATGTAAATAATAAATATATATATATATATATCTAAATAATATATATATATGTATAGTATATATGTATGCATATGTATATATATATATATGTATCAATATATATATATATATGTGTATATATATGTATACATATAGATGTATATATATATATTATGTACGTAATATATATTATATATATATGTATGATATATATATATGTATATTATATATGTATAATATATAAATGTATAATATATATATATATGTATATTATATATATATGTATATTATATATGTATATTATATATATATATGTATATTATATATATATATATATGTATATTATACATATGTATAATATATATATATATGAATATTATATATATGTATATTATATATATATATGTATATTATATATATATGTATATTATATATGTATATTATATATATATATATATGTATATTATATATATATATATATGTATATTATATATATATGTATATTATATATATATGGTAAACCCAAAGCCATAAACCCAAACATTTCGATACATGTCCAAGGTGGTAAAGATCATCTAAGAAGGCGGCATTGGGTTTATCATGGTTTATCACATTGAAGGAGATTTTCATGAGGGATTAATAGAAGGTGGTGCCCCTCCAGTGATGTTTGTTGGTTTATAACCTCCATGAAGTATAGGTATATTATATCTACCATAAACCCAAGTGAAATTGGAGTTACCCTCTGGTAAACTAACATAACTTAACTATGGAAAGACCCACCGTTTTTTATTGGAAAATCAAATATAAATGGCCATGTTCAATAGCAAACTGTTAGTTTACCGGAAGGTAAATCCCATAAAAATCCCATTAAATCCCGTCAAAATGCCATGAAATCCCATTAAAAACCAACTTTTCTATCATTAAAACCCCAACTTTTCGCGATTCCGAACTTGGGCACCACCAACCGTGACAGCCTGTAGACGCACGCCCCACCTGTTCCAGCTGCCGCACCAGGTCTCGTAGCAGCTGATGGTCCTCCATGAAGGCCAGGTTGGCCAAGAGGAAGGCACCACTGGGATCCAGCTGGTGGTACCTGTTGCACCGCTATAGGCATGGTGATTCTTGACATATCCGCAATGAACCATAGTAAGACAAAGATATAATATGATCAATGGTGTATATATATATATGTATATATATAGAGAGAGAGAGAGCGGGTAGTTAGGGGGGTGGGTTTTTGAAAGTTGTGATTTTGCAATGTTTTGGCCTTTGCAGAGAACATGTCATTGAAATGATGAGAATGTGCATTCACTGCTTGATGTGAAGAGAGCTAATATACATATATATATATATACATAAGCTAGTACAAACTTGGCTCTTTTACTGATATTTGCTTTGATTTTTTGATTGGTATTGTGGATGAGATCTATTGGTATTCCAAAAAGGGAGCGCCAATGACACAGATTTTGAATAGATCTTAAGGTGCCATGCATATAAAAAGATACAGTAAGTAGATCTTGAAACCTCCCAAGGTTTTCTTGAATATATGTAATTAGATTGCCACAAATAATTTGAATGAACAATGTCTTAATACAACATATAAAGAAAAATAGAATTGGCATTAACCTTTCAAAGAATTGAAATGAAATAAGAAAAATAAGCTTATCTACTACAAATATTTCATGGAACTCTTGGATTGAAGTAGAATTGAGGTAGAATATGCCCACAAACTCTGAGAAAAAAATGACATCAAGTGGTGTGACTCTTAGGTATAAAGTCTTTTACACAGAAAAATCAGTTAAAATTGCCAGGGAATCTTGTATGTTGTGCCTTATTTTTCCTGAGAATTTTGCTGGAAAATGAGGTTTAAGCAGAAATTACAAATAAGCTTGTATTTTATCCAAAAATTCAAAGAGATCTTTCGTTTTTTCACCTTCATTCATTTCATTTCTCGTTTATATAAATTACATACCCCCCAAGGGGTGCATGTAACAAATACTTGAAGTAATCTTGCATTTTGATATAAAGAAAACCCAAACAAAAACATGCTGTACTTTGGTATTGAAACTGAAACTGGCACCCCTAAGTCAAAGTATATTTTTTGCAAGATACTACATTTCCCAATTGAATCAATCCTCTTGAAAAAGGCATACATGTTTCAAAAGGATTGCTGCAACACTTCAAGGAACAATCTGGATTGTAATGAAGAAATGCTTTCAAACAAAGTTATATACATTTCCCAAAAAGGAATTGTATCTTATTTCAGACAATAATGCATGTCCCAATTGAAGTAAGCATCTTGAAAAAGGCATGTATTTTTCAAAAGATCAAAAAATAATGCTGCAACACTTCAAGGAGTAATGAAGAAGTTTCTACAAAAAAAATACATTGTTCTAAAATAATGTCCATCCTATGTCAAACAGTAGTGCATTGGCACTTTTGGCATGGAGCCTCATCTACAAATGCCTCCTGTCATCTAGCGAATACCTCCTGTTACCTGGCAAATCTCTATAAAACGCAAACCAAAAAAAAAACAAAAAAACAAAGAAAAAAACAAAAAACAATATTGCACCACATACTGACATACACATGGGCTCAGCGCGTTTTCCATTTAAATAAACAATGATGATAAGCAACCCTAATCATAATACCCTTGGGGCCCGGAAAACGCACCGAACGTATATATATATATATCTATATATTGATAATAGTAATGTAAATGGTCTCATATAGATTAGTACATCTGAGAAGCGTCACCCACGGCCACAAGTCTCCTTCTATGGCTATGGCTGTCAGAATCTATCGGATCACCAGGTTTACTGACAATTTAACCAGTGGAAAATCATCATTTCCAGTAGATCGAACCAAAAGCGCCATGTTCCATTGCTATGTTCACCACAGGGTGCCGCTGACATCTGGCTCCGAAGTTTTTTCATGGCTCAGTGAGCCTCATTTGTCCACCAGGATGAGCCAGAGGAAAGTGCTTCAACACAAGCACCGGAGTAGAACAAAGACGCTGCGGATGACAAAAAACAGCAGAATAGCATCCTAAAGCGTCCAATGAAATCACAAATGATTCCATCCCCATTTTTTTGCGTGTTGTCGACTTCTGATTGTGTAAATGGCAGTCATCACACTCGGACCCCTAGGGCCCTAGGGTCAGGGTTGTCTTTGCCGGCCCCACGACATCTATGAACTGTTGATTGGCAGCTGCGAGCTGGAACGCTTCTGTGCAGCTGCGCTGCAGGTGCAGTTGGCCCCATGAGTCGGGATCTAACATGGTAGCCTCTGGTAAACGTACAAAAAACGATGGAAAATCACCATGTTTAATGGGTAAATGAACTATTTCAATGGACCATGTTCAATAGCTATCTTAGTTTACCAGAGGGTAACCAGAATATCTATGGTTCTATATCCACTGATAGCACTGATAGCTGGAACTGCACCCCAAAGTATGCAAAATAGGCGAAAGAAGCCACTTTGCGCGGGCATGGACAAAATTTTGCCAAAGATGGCAGTGGTCGGATGGTCTCCATGGTCTGTGTGCATGTGAAGCATTACATTCCAGCTTCTGTGTGCATCTAGTAATATAGATAACAATGGTATGGTGTATCATAATGTATTATGATATATTATGATGTATTAATTTTGATGAATTGTGATGCATTATGATGTATATGATGTATTTTTGTGTATTATGATGTATTATGATGTGTTATGATGTATTCTCATGTAGTATTATGTATTATGATGCAGTACGATGTATTATGATGTATTATGATGTATTTAGGTGTATTATGATGTATTATGATGTGTTATGATGTATTCTCATGTAGTATTATGTATTATGATGCAGTACGATGTATTATGATGTATTATGATGAACTATGATGTATTATGATGTATTATGATGTATTATTTTCTTATAATGTATGCGATGAATTACGATGTATATATGTATATATACATATTATAAGTACTGTATATAATATTTATATATATGTACATATGCAATTTCTACTGCATATATCTATATATTAGTTTCATATATTTATATATAAATTACATATGTATTTATTCATTTACTCATTTAATTGTACTTAATTATTTAATGATATATTATATGTATGTGTACGCAGGGGTCCAGAACCATCCAGAACCCCGGGTACGAACCATCTTTTCACGACTGGTAAAACATGGGAAAACCATCCTGCAGCGCGTAAACTTTACATATTACATGCCCCGCTATAAAATTGTCGTTTGTAGCGATTTTGGCGCCGATTTGTAGCACGCATCAGAACGGTATTGAACGTGCTTTTTGTCCCTTCACTGTACAAGACTTGGGTATGAGTCAAAAATGACGGACACCAGAAAAGTGGCTGGCATAATATGCATCCAAAATGCCCAAAACATCCCCATCTCAGTCATCTTAGTCGCCTATCTCTTTGGGCGTCCATCCACTGACCCAGCATTTCCCAAGGGGAGGAAGAAGAACCTCCAGGGACAAGACATGGCTTGAACGGTTGAGCCTTTTGTTGCCTTCACACCTGCATGGTCTCCGTGGAGCCGCATGCAAGGCGCACTTCACGTCGTCGTTCCTTCGGGACCTTTCCCAAGAAATACCAGAAGGTCCCAGCAATCCTTGGCTCAAAAAATTCGTCTTTGGCGATGTTCTATGGTTAATCTATGGTTAATCTATGGTTAATCTATGGTTAATCAACCGTAAAAACCCAGCATTCCAAAAATGGACAAAACAACACGATGGATGATGGATGAGCATCTCCAAACGGAAACATACCGTCCATTTGTTGTGTTTCGCGAAAAGAAATATGGGCGCATCAAATAAATTGCATCATGATACTCCAACAAAACATATTGGTAAACTAACATAACTATGGAAAATCACCATTGTTCATGGGAAAATCCACGAACTAAATGGTGATTTTCCATAGTTATTGGTCAACAAAGAAAGGTTCGCACCCAGCTGGACCAATTGGAATGGCCCGTAAATCTTGGCGTGGCCCCGGATCGACTCCCGATGAGGAAATCCGTGCCGGGTTCCCCTTGTAACTGGGCAATTTTCCATAACTATGTTTTAAAGAAGCAAGAGGGTACATGTATTTAGGCATATTCACTATATATATACACATTATATTATATATACTATTATATATACTATTATATATATATACTATTATATATATATATTATATATATATATATGATTTATATATGCATGGCCTCCACCGCTCCTTTCACCGCTGCGAGTCTTGGTGATCCAACACTGCAAGAAAGCGAACAACATCGTCCAGAAATAGAGCGAATAGACGGCCTCGGTCTGGAGCAACAGATGGTGCGATTTGGGAATTTTCGAAACCACCTGAGCAATTTTTGATCTATGTTTAATATCTATCTATGTATTTGAAATAGCTATAATTTATTAATAATCATATCTGTTTGATATTTGTTTAATAATAATAATAACAGCTATCTATCTATTTCAATATATCAAAACCTGGTTGAAACATCTGTTTAAAAAATATACGTATCTATATATGTCAATATTATCTATCTACCCACCTACCTAGCTAGCTATCTATCTATCTATCTACCTAGCTAGCTAGCTATCTATCGATCTATCTATTTATCTATCTATCTATCTATCAATCAATCTATCATAGTTTAAACATATGTTTGAAAATCGGTCGAAATGGAGCAATCACGGAGCCCAACATAGAACTCCATGACAGGCGGGCAAAGTGGTCAGTAGGGATTTTGCCATATCGGATTCTGAGCATCCAGAAATCTCTGAGAATTTGAGAACTTGGGCCAGGGTAATGTAGATGTAATGCGGTAAACGTATAATGATAAAGCATAAATTATGATGGTTAATTATGATTGGATGGTTAATGAAATGTGGTTTAACTATCCAATGATAATAATTAATAATAATAATAATAGCTATCCAATTCTGATAGCTAATAGATTATATAACTCCAGAAATGTGTTGGATGGTTAATTTGTTAATGATAGTTATTATTATGGTTAAACCTTCCCTTAAAATCACCACTTAATTGGATTGCATGAACCATGAGTTTATGTTTCTTTTTGCACACCAAATAACAGTGCCAATCTGATTATCTTAGATACCCTCCAAAAATTAAATTCTTGGCTGGTGAACGTAGACAATCCCATATTGATACCAAAAAACTAAAGGACCAAAGTACCCATCTAAGGTTGACCTAGAAATGTGGATTGTTATTATGATTAAACTTGGTTAAATCACACAAAACATCAAACGATTCGAACATTGATCAATGAACTTCGCTGAGATTCCAGACCTTCATGGTGAACCAGCCCCAGCAATTCTATCAACCAACAGGGGGGTTGCACTTAAAAGCCGCAGCGAAAAACGACTCGACTCGTCTCGTTGCGAGTAGCGTAAGTGATCTGCAGCATGGCTTTCAGCAAGCACGACGCCACGAAGACGCCAACCAGGGACCTGGAGATAACTTTTTCTTTGGCGCATGGGTTTTCAAGGGGATACCCAATTTATATATATATAATATATATGGCTGTATAATGCTGTATTAATATATCTTTACATGGGTTATATGTACCTTTAAATGCTAGTGTCCTGACATGCCCATTGATGTTTGTCGAGATCTTGTTTAATGGTCATGTGGGTATGAGTCAAAGTTGGGATGATGTGTGCTCTTCCCCTCGAACAGCCATGTGGGGACTGAGCTTGAACTATTGGATCTGAACTAGCTGATGTTTGATCCCTTTTTTCAGCATCTTCCCAGCGGTGTAAAACCCTGATGTTTGGCCCAACTGTTGGATTCTCCCATTTTTTGATTTGGGAGGAAATCCGCCCACGCTGGAGTGGAATTTATATATCCATGAAATTACTATAGATTAGTGATTAGAATATGATTGGAATTGGTACCCCCCTAGTAAAATTGGGTTCTAATCCCACTTCGCCACCAGTTCCTAACTATGTAAGTAGGCTGATCCAAGTGCAACCCATTTTTCCATATTTTTCTATGGGCATCATGGCCGCCCTGGGCCTCTTGAGTTTGGAGGCCCCCAGGTATCCGCAGGCCAGTAGCAGAAGCAGAAACAGCGACTGCCAGAGCTGGAGGCCCTTCGTCGAAGGCCAGGCGTAGAAGGTCAAGACACTCAGCAGGGTGGACAGCACGTCCAGCCACGCGAAGAAAAAGACGGCCATCTGGTAGTTCAACATCACCTGGGGTGCCCCCAGTCACAAGTTAACTTAATTAAAAGACACTTACCCTCTGGTAAACTAACATAACTATGGAAGATCACCAATTTTCAGAGGTAAATCAACTCTAAATGGGCCATTTTCAATAGTTGTGTCGGTCTACCGGAGGATAACCTAGAGAGATGTCCCATCAATCCGAAGCGGAGTCTTGGAATTTACAAATGTCCGGCAATTTACATGTTTATTGATCATCATGTTCACTAAAACCTGTTTTTTGTTGCAGGTCGTGTTTGCCATTATGTAGGGATGCAGGGATCTGATGCATTTTGGGGGGTTGGGGATGTTAGAGAAACGAAAGAGTTGGTTGTCTCAAAAATTTGGAACATCGTTGATCACTATCCGGCCATTTTGGGGGTTTCTTCTATGATGAGCTTGGTGATGTGGGTTCCAAAGCCACTTAAATGCCAACGGTGCTTCAAAAAAAAGCCTTGGGCACCTCTAGTTGAGAACTTGAGAATTTGGGCCAATAATTAAGGGTAATCTGGATGTAATGTGGTAAACTCATACTGAAAAACCATTCCCTAAAATCGCCACTTAATTGGATTGCATGAAACATCGGTTCATGGATTTGTTTGACCAAATAAGAAGTATTCGGGCAATGGATCCTAACTTCAAGATGAGTCGTCAGCTTTGAGGGTAGATGCCAATGGAATAGACACTAAAGTATCCAGTGGGATGTCATCAGACCTGATCTTCCACCAGTATCACAACTTGGCCGCAAGTAGGGATACCTCTTTTCAGGCTGTTTCATGGGGAAAACGCTGTTAAACCTTCGGGTTCTAGGGGTAGATTCCTCAAAGATCCTCAAATTCAAAGCTCAAGAATTTCTATTTGAGCTTGAGAGAAAAAAAGATGGCAGTGATGGCAGTGATGGCAAATCTTCGGATTTCGGGTAGTACCTCATGTTTCAAACAAAGCCATCTCCATCCTTTTCCCACCTGCTCATCTGTCTCCAGAGTTTCAGGTACCACAGGTACCACCCCACTGGACTTGGATGACTTGGGTTTCAGAGGATCTGGAACCACCGGAACCACCGGAACCACCGGAACCACCGGAACCGCGCGGCTTCCCTCCATGGTTTCCTCGGACATGGGAAGATCGCCTGTGGCCGAATCCTCTTGCGCCATCGGCTGCGGCTACCCCGGGCGTTTCGCGTTTGAGCCAACTGAGCCAAGATGATGGGCACTTGGGATCACTCGGAGTCGAGCTGCAGCGATCAATTGCAACACATCATCCAACCCGGCTAGAGTTCCAAGCATCTGCTTGGGGGTTCGAAATGAAAAGACAGAAGAATTCAATGATACCCTTCACCAAATGGAGAGCATCCTGGCACCAAAGGATGCGCCAGTGTGTCTGAAAAATGGAACGGAGCACAGATTTGGGCATGAGATGGCATGAGTCTTCAGGCCTTCAGGCTACTTTCATGTACTTTCTACCTTCACAGCCATAAAGCCTCGGATCTTTACATATCCACGGATAGATCCTTTGTTGCGCCCGGGGCACATGGTGCTTTGCTGCAGATTCTCCAACAATGTTGACCGCGCATCCTCAGACAGTACCTTGGACGACTCAAGATTCAAACGGTTGGTTACCCTCTGGTAATGACTAACATAGCTATTGAAAATGGCCCACTTATGCCCATTTAGTTCGCTGATTTACCTATGAAAGATGGTGATTTTCCAGTTCGCTATGTAAAACTTTACCAGAGGGTAACTTGCAGTTGTCATTCATGGTTCTTGGTCATCATGTTACCCTGGATTCCTGTTGCCCAAAGGGGATCCCTGGGCTCAACTAACATAGCGAAAACCCCTGGAAGTTGTCCACATCTATGTTCACTAAAGGGTACCCTCTGGTTATTTAACATAGCCATGGAAAACGGCCCATTTATAGATGGTTTACCTATTACAGTAAACATGAATAAAAATGGTGATTTTCCATGGCTATGTTAGTCATAACCAGAGGGTAAATCAGATGAAATCCACATGTTCTTCCGCTCCCCAAGCACTGGATTGGTTTTTCAAGGAAAATCTGAACTCCAGAAACCCAGGGCTTTTCCCTCTGCAATTGTTTTTGGGGGTTCTGCATGGCTGTTCCCTTGAACTAATCCAATGATAAGTTGCAATAATACTTACCCTCTGGTTATGACTAACATAGCCATGGAAAATCACTTATAAATGGAGGTTTCTAGCTGGGAAAATCATCTATAAATGGGAATTTTCCATGGCTATGTTAAATAACCAGAGGGTATATCAAACGTCTTAAAAGCGCCCCAGTCCTTAACGTCACATTTGATCCTTCGTGACATCCACTTGTTTAGTGGCTTCTAGTATCATCATTGTCATTATTGTTGGATACCGCCAATATTTAATCCCTATTGGAAACCCCATGATCATCGCCACTATTTAGTTCCAAAGGGTCTAAAATTTTTAGGTGTACGAATAAGTAATAAGCACCATTAAAGCTATATAGATATATCAATATCTGCCATAGAATCTTAGTTATCTAGTGCATTTAGTTCCTCGTACTGGAACTGCACCCTCAAGTATCATACTTGGGGGTGCATCCAGTTACAAGTGGATATATAAGCATAGCATACCATAGTTATAGGGTTTATATTCCAACTTATGGTGGTTTTGACGATAGTTATATACACCCCCAGTAAACTATAATGACTGTCACCTTTTTTCATAGGTAAATCATCAAAGTAAATGGGCCATCGATGCCATAGCGTTAGTTCGCCAAAGGGTATCAGCACGAACAACCCCAGCTATATTCATGCCTATATTCGTACTTATATTCCATTATATTCATACCTATATTTCATTATATTCATACCTATAGTGCCAATACCCCAGTTGTATTCCATTCTATCATAGTCTCAGCATCTCTCAGCTGCGACTGGCACCTTGGTACCTTGACATTTCCGACCCAGGACCCAGTGGACCCAGATCGTCCTGGAGGTCTCTTCAAATCACCATTGAAGTACATGGTTTACCTCCTACGTGGTTTTCCACATTCCAAAAAAAAATCGGGGATTCTACACATGTTTTTTTTCAATCATGAAACCGAAGTACACTTACTTTACCCAAGAAATACCATTGGTTTTAGTATGTTTTACCCTCTGGTAAACTAACATAACTATGGAAAATCACCATTTTTAATGGGTAAATCCACTATACATGGCCATTTTCAATAGCTATGTTAAATAACCAGAGGGTAGGTGAAACCGCCACTTTTGACATCGCCGCGGCGCCCCATCTGCCACGGCATAGCCCCGCGCTGCCAAGTCCGAACCCACCAGCGCACTGAGCTGCGGCGCCAGCGCTCCGGCAGCCAACCCGGAGCCCGCGGAGCGCGGCCCTGGGATCTTCCCGATCCCTTGGAAAAATGTTGGTTGAACTGTGGGAAATGGCGAAAAATCATGCTTTAACCATGGTTTAAATGCCAATCTATGACTATTTCACTCACATCTTTGTGGTTTCTGGCAAAAACGGCGCAAAAAAAAAAAAACATATGCTGTTCACCTAGATGTTCCATGGTTAAACAGCTGTTTAACCACCATGGTTTCAACATTTTCCACGGCGAACTCACCATGTTTTTCCCCCACCTGGCGTCCACAGCGCCGCCTGCACCGACGCAAGGAGCGCTCGCCGCGCATCACCCATGGGCAGGCGGATTTCGAAGACCTGGAAGGGCTGGGTACATACATATTAATGGTGATTATGTAATGGTTACTAATATCTATATGTATATTTAACCATATGTAATATGATTATATTATGGTTACAGCTACTAATATATTATTTAATGGAGATTATGTAATGGTTACTAATATCTATATGTATATCTAACCAT